CTGACGGCTGCTCTCCCCGCAGCTGGCTGTACAAGGAGGCCACCGTGCATCAGATACAGGAGCTGCCCGAAACTGGTGCTGCCCACGTGACCGTCATCATCAGTCGGGCCGCCTATGGCAGGTTCCGGAAGCTGTTCCCTGGCTGACAACCGATAGTCCCTCCCAGATTGGCTAGCAGCTCATTAAAGCGGGTTTGCACTCTCCCCTCAGCATGGCTGTGTGGAGGGTCCGTGTCACTGGGGGAAGTGGGCGGGGAGAGTCACTAAGGGGAGGAGGACAGATACACGTGAGGTCGCATCCCCCACCCCAGTCGGGCCCCTGAACCATACGACAGGGACACAGTTCCATTTTCTCAGCTCCGGACTTCAGCTTCGCTGCAGGCTGGGATGGAGGGTAGGGTGTCTAACCTCGGGGGACACCCTTTAACTCTCTGACCTGAGAAAATGCGCTAATGCTGAGGTCACACGGTCAGGTGTGAGTCAGGTGTGGGGATGGTGGATTCCCAGCCAGCAGCGGATGCGAAGCCGTGGGTAGTGTTTGTGGCTCAGTACTCGGGGTGCTTGCTGCCTTTAGAGTGCTCACCTTGCATGCACCGCACCAACCAGGTAGGGTGGTACTTCCTGTGGAAACTGAGGCAGGAGAAAACAGCCCAAGGCTCTCACCCGCATCTCCCCAATGAGAGTCAAGCCTGGGCTACGGGAGATGCTGCACAAACACACTGTCGCAGGCACAGTTGGCTTCAGAAGATTTTAATTAATGGAGGCGCTGATCACGGGTGATGCAACCTAAGCAACACCTGAGCAACAGGTCACATGACCCCGTAGACGCTGGGGGGGTGGTGTGGGACATTGGAACTTCAGTATGCGAGGGGCAAGGGTGGGGGTGGCGTCCTGATGACCGGAAATGACCAGCAGGCTGCTTCGCAAGCTCTGGGAGTTCGAACCCTGCACCCGCTAGTGTGACTTGGACTGGCTCGCCAGGGCCTCGGCCCTTCACAGGGGACAACAGGACATTGCCCATGTTTCCAGGAGATACATGACATCCTTTAACTCTGATACCCGTAACTCTCACATCTGTTACCTTGACCTCATACTGAACCCCGCACCTTGGGTCCCTGTGGGGACAGGTCGGTCAGGGCCACAGCAGCTTACGGTGGCGTCCAGTGATGTCACTCACCAAGTTCCACGCGATGATGTTGGTGCAGCGGGAGCCCGGCCCTGGCTGCTGCTCTCACTCATGCTCTCGGGGTCAGGAGGTTGGACAATGTCATCTTCTCTAGGTACCCGGATGGGTACTCCACGTTCTCAGTGAGGTTGGTGCCTGCCACGAACAGGCCACCTGGGAGGGAGAGGTGGTGTGATGCAAGGGGTCCACATCACAGCAGGTGAGACTGACAGGATGGCGTCCCTAGGGAAGTCCACCACCCTGTCTCACAGTGACGTCAGTGCCTGCCCACTCCCAGACTGACAGGTGACATTCACACATGATTGACAGGTGATGTCCCCATAGACTGCCCCCCATCCCCACCTGACTGACAGGTGACATCTTCACAGACCACCCTAGGCTGTATCCTGCGTGGCACTTGGGCGATTGCAGCTCTTCATGGTCTCCAGGTAACACAGCAGCCCTGCGATTTCACCTTGTCCCCGACCAGTAGGAGATTCCAGGCCACAGCTCTGCATGGCGACCCACGAGGCCCTCCATGGGGCACCTGCTTGCCCCGGGGCCCACAGCTGCCTTAGCATGGGGATGTCCTTAAAGAGGCCGCTTGAAGCTGCAGACCAGGTGGCGCCGGGTCCACACCCCGAGCGGCCACGTGCCCACACCCCTCCACATCCCACGCAGACACGGCATGTCCCCGAAGATGTTCTTGATGCAGCCCTCGAGGTATTTATGCAGCTCGTCCGTCATCCCCTTGAAATTCAGGGGTCAGGATGACGACCTCACAGGGGTGCGACTCCAGTCACTCGGAGATCTCTGTGAGGGTGTCCTGGAGACATCACGGGAACACGTCTCAGAGCCTGGCGGACTAGGATCCCTTTCCACCTAGTCCCTCCTGTCCCCCGCCCTGCCCTAACTGAGTTCAGACTTCATGTGACTGACTTTTGCTTGGAAAATGCTTGTAACATAGCATTGTGTTCAATTTTTGTATTCAAGACATCGATAAGTATATAACTAAAAACACTGCACATCATTCCTGCTGTTACGAAGAAAGAGCACTGATATCTCTTATTAAAGGTGAAACATGGAAACCAGGGTACCAAAATTGTATTTCTGATGAAGACACACATATATAGTCTCCAGCTAGGAACGTGTTCTTAGCCAGATTCCCTGTGCTCTCTGATTCCCTGTACTCTTGGCTGTGGTGGTAAATGCTTCCAGGACAGTCGTCAAGCCTGTCACTGAAACTTGCAGGCTTAGCAAAGGGACAATATGGGGTGGCAATTGGTGGAGTTCAGCTACACATACTTGTGAAAGATCATAACAGCTGGGCTCCTTGTTGACTGGGGATGTGATGTTCTCCTAGAAAAAGGGCCCGGGGAGGGTCCTGGGATCTTCACCTGAGTTTCCAGTCACTACTCCCCATAAGTCATATGCAATTTTATGTGTGGCCTCAAAGAGGAGTTAGAGTATACAGCTGGAAGAGACTGGTTGGTGGAGGGGGCTCCACATACACGGCCATGGGGAAGCCATCATCCATGCTGGGTTCAAACTGGAGGCTTCTTTAGGGTCGCCCACGCTCCTGCCCATAACCCCTCATCCATGGTCTGTAAATAATCCTAATAAACTCATTGCTTCCAAGGGATGAACTTTGATGTAATCAATTTCCGGTTTGTCACTGGCACTTTAGGAGGAGAGGAAGTAGACCTTGAGGGCTAAAGAGAAAGGGCAGCCACCCCTTGCTTGTTTTGTGCCTTATATTCCCGGAGATTACTGTACTGGAATTGGGAAGGAACCAGCCCCAGAGACAGAATACCAACAAAACATACCCTTGCTGAAACCCGGGATCGAACCAGGGACCTTTAGATCTTCAGTCTAACGCTCTCCCAACTGAGCTATTTCAGCAATGGTATGGGAAGTCTTCTACCTGGTGCAGGAGAAATTTAAAGGAAAAAGAAACTCCGGTGACTTCGCCTCTATCTTTTGATTTTCTAATTTCACTTTTAGAGATGTATGATCTCTACTTCTGCCGTTTTAAGAACAATGAGAAAACAGCCTGGTCTACAGAGCGAGTTCCAGGACAGCCTCCAAAGCCACAGAGAAACCCTGTCTCGAAAAACCAAAAAAAAAAAAAAAAAGAACAATGAGAAAATTAATTCCTACCAGGGCGTGTACTGCTGAGACCCTGGACCGGTAACCATCACATTTAATTCATAAGGTTTCTCTACCCCTATTCAGGGTCCCAAAGAGACAGGAACTACCTGGTGTAGATGACTTGGCCTGAAGATCCCATTCAACCCTCAGGTCTGCTGGAAGGTCTATGCGATCATAATTCTTAAACGGGGTAACCAGTTTGTCCTCAGCCATCCAGATCTGTCCAACGCCTGAAAGGTCAGGGTCGAGACAGACTTCAGTGTTTAGTCTGTCTCCTTTTGTCGAAGGGCGCATGCAAACCATAGCTGAAAGCAGGAAGCAGTGTTCTGCACCAGCCTGTCCTGAGAAGGATGGGAGCGAAGAGCGGAGAGTTACAGCTGCCCAGCGTGAACTAGTTTGCACTTTCCAATGGTGTCCCTGAGGAAGAGAGGTCTGGGTATTTGCTGTTTCTCTCCTTAGGATGCCTTCTCAGTCTCAAGGTTCACGATCCGCTAGGATTTCTTTGTTGTAGAATATTAGTTAAAGATGTGTTACATTTGTTTATGCTGTGGAACATTTGTTTTAATGATACAAAGATGTGTTGCTTTCTTGTGTTTGTGTTACTTTGCCTGTCTAAAACACCTGATGGTCCAATATAGATCTGAACAATGGCTAGGCAGGAGCAAGGATAGGTGGGGCTGACAGGCAGAGAGAATAAATAGAAGGAGAAATCAGGAAAAAGCAAGAGACATCAAGGAGTGAGAAAAGAAGGGGGCCAGCCAGCCATAAAGTAAGAGGGAAATAAGGTATACAAAAGAAAAGGAAAAAGCCATAGAGTAAGAGTGAAATAAGGTATACAGAAGAAAAGGAAAAAGCCATAGAGTAAGAGTGAAATAAGGTATACAGAAGAAAAGGAAAAAAGCCATAGGGTAAGAGTGAAATAAGGTATACAGAAGAAAAGGAAAAAAGCCATAGGGTAAGAGTGAAATAAGGTATACAGAAGAAAAGGAAAAAGCCCAGAGGCAAAAAGATAGACAGGATAATTTAAGAAAAGCTGGCTAGAAACAAACCAAGCTATGTCAGGCATTCATAAATAAGAATAAGCCTCCATGTGTGTGATTTATTTGGGAGCTAGGTGGTGGGTCCCCCAAAGAGCCAACGAGTAAAAAGCAAAGAGCAGACTTTGTATAAATTGTATTGGATGTGTGCTTTGACAACTTCATACATACAGGAACTGTTCTGATTTACTGTAACCCCACCCTGTCTAGTCTCCCAGGCAGTCCCACTATTAGTCTTTCACCCACATTCATGTTTTCCATCTGTTGTTTTGTGTTTGGGTTGAGTTTCAGTTTTTGACTCCCACTGACTCTGTGCGACCACGGATGTGGAACAATCCTTCACAGATTAGTGGGCGCCTCGGTGGGTACACAACTGAAGATAATGAATGATGGTGATTTTTCCAAAATCTCACCCCGCTGTCCACTTTTCTTTGGATGAGTGACCACTGTTGTCCCTTTAACAAATATCAACCAAGGCCCGCGGCTATGGGCCTATGATTTTAGGCGTATTGTGTACATGTTTGTTTGTTTTTTTTAAACGATTCCTTACTCATCTCAACACACGTTTTCTTATTTCATCCCCTGATTAAAAGCGCTTAGTAATTATCACATGCACCTGCTTGCCCTTAGACTCTACCAAGCCTGTGAGTGAGTTCTGGTCTGGTTTAATCTTCACAGGTTTATGAGATGGAAGCCAAGATAATGATTCCTTTACTTCTGAGAAGGCTGTTTTTAGTGAGGAATAGGAGGTCGTCGTGAAGTCTGTGTGGACCCTGCGTGAAGCGTCGCTGTGAGGAGGGTGAAGACCCTGCTTCACATTCCAGTTCCACCTCCATCTTTGTTTGCCCTTTTTCGCTTATCGGGACATTCTAGGATTTTCGAGGGCATCTGACTTAACTCCCCATCCAGTAGAGGAGGTCTGCTTCATTCTGTGGCCCGCCTGAATCAAGGAAGACTCAATCTGTGTCAAGTAAGGAGTGTCTTCTCCCAGGGAAAATTGCTTCACCTCGGGGAACTTGCACCTTTTGTGTTTACCAGCCAATTTCTTAAAATCCTGCAAGAATATGGATGAGAGTGTACGAATTTGTCGTGAGTGTGCGCTGACTGTTTTGGTTTGTCCCAGCCCTTGAAAGTGCATTCTCCCATACGATGCCCACTTTCTCCCACTAACAGGAATCTCTACCGCGGCTTCAACATCTTGTGGTAATCATGGGCGCCCTTCGGGACAGGGGAAGTTTGACCTGGTGTGAAGAGGAAAGCTGCTCTTCGTGGGGTTTCGGTTCCCAGAAAAGCACCTTTTCCTGAGAGCAGGGTGGGACCGTGCAGGGAAACCTGAGCATGCCCAAGGACGGCCGGGAAAATACGGTTGCAAGTGTGTCTCTCGAACACGGAACGTGGTGAGCCATTAGGAATGTGGTGTGCTCCCAGGATTTTAACATTCCTTTCCCTAAATGAGATGATGTCTAATGTCCTAAAACGAGTAGGATGAATACCTTTTTAAAAGAAAACGGTTGCGCCCGAACAGGGACTTGAACCCTGGACCCTCAGATTAAAAGTCTGATGCTCTACCGATTGAGCTATCCGGGCTCACAGAAAAGAAGGTCAATTCGGTGTTTGAAGACTCTTACTGCTTGTTCTGCGCTACACTATTATATAATTACTAGGCCCTTTTTTTGTGCCTAATACAATTCCGGGCACAAATCACGTGAGAGCAAGGAAAGGAAAATGGATTATGAAGTGGAATGATGCTATTACTTGCCATCTGGATACAGATGTACAAGCACGCCCCACTTCTCTTAGACCCTTATTCCCTTAACCGTGAACACCGAGTTCTGCAAAAGTGTGCGAGCAGAAGCCGCCCGCTAACAATTGCCACACTTCGTGTTTCTGCCCCAGAGCGAACAGGCTATAAAACCAGAGGTTACTACCATCAGGCTGCCCATTCTTCCAATATACGACTTGCAATCCCCTCCTCCCCATCCTGGGTGCCCAGCTCAAAAAACACAAGCCGAAACCCAGTAGCCGAAGAGAGCTGCCCTGGCATATCAGGAGTCAGAGTAAGCCCTCCCAACCTGCCTCCGTCCCAGGGCCGGCCTTGAGCACGCGCAGCTCCAAACACCCCATCCTCTCTGATGCTACAGTATTTCATTTTTATAGCAGATCCTGCCACAACCTTTCAGTCCTCTGGGCCTTTGCTGGTAGGTGCTCTTCCCTCGCACCTCCCCTCCCCCTTCTGTTCATTTCTTATCCCCAAGAACCTGGGAAGGCCGAAGAACAATCCCTGTTATGCTGAGTTCTCGGATGACATTCTAAAGGAAAAAGCAAGAGAAAAATAAGCAAGTGTATAAACACGTGCATTTCACAGAGACACGAAAAAGATACTCAGGGAATGGGTGATTCTTCAAGAAGTGGCCCAAAGTTCCTGTTTATATAGTACCTTCAACAAGAAAAACTAATAATAATAATAATAATAATAATAAAATATTTTCGGATGAATGGCAAGATAAAGAAAAAAGACCTTGTGTCTCTAGAGCAACAAATTGTGGGAAAGTAAATATATAGGAAATTAACAGCAGATAAAGATAGTTAAGGAAGTCTGTTGTGTAGATTCCTCTGATGCCATCTGCAAGCCGATACTAATTTTAAAATATTTTCAGTTGACCAACCTTTGTCCTTCGAGATCGAGCGGGGAGAAGGGAAATCTTTGTGCATGTATGCCCTGCTTCTATGGGATTAGAGAAAACGTAGAGTTTTTCATTGTATTGGCTTCTTAATTTCCTATGACTCAAACTTGAAGCCAAAGTGGTATGTTGGCCTGGGCATGATCTCCTCCCTATTACACACTGGAGAATGTAGTTGAAGTGCCACCTTCTCTGGGGCGACCCCTGTAACCAGCTGGCAAAGCGTCATCCTGCAGAGTGGGTGGATAAAGGCATCTGAAGTATGCCTTGTACGTTGAGTGAGGTTATTCAGCCATCTTCTTTATGCTTCTTGCTTGAATCACAAGTGCTGCTGCTCACAGTGCCCTCCCTCCACTTCTGGCTGAAACCTGGACAGGGCCAAAAGGGCAGCAGTTCCTAGACGTGTGTGATCCTCCTTTTTCTTGAAGATCCCAGCTGTCCCCTTACCTGTGTACAAGAGATGCTGGAGCAAGCTGTCCGGTGGCTCCGGAGAAACAGAACTGATTGGATACTGTTAGAGGCAGAGATGTTTTAAGAACTTAGTTCGCTCAGCTAGGCCTTGGTCAGAGAAGCTTCTTTTTGCAGTGGACAGCAGTCAATGGGGGAGATGTAGAACTTGACACAGTGCTGAGAAGAGACTGTGACTGCTCAGCTAAACAGGACATCTATGTCAGTCACCACCACCACTTAGAGCACATTGCAAAAGAGACAGACAGAATGTAAGAGTCACAGGCTGAGGAGGCGTGTTGTGGGATCTTTTGAGCCTGATCTGGCTGCCAAGCTCATGAATTCACTGAAGCAGTGGTTACCTACTCAAGACCTGCACAAAATCAAGCCAGCCCAAATCCTTTAATAGATAGGTAGATGATGTCCAGGCCCCACACCATACTGAAGTTATTGGCTGTGAATAGTGGCTAGAGGAGGAATCAAACCTCATTGAGGGCGTGACGACTGGGAGGTTTCCCATGCTCCGGTACGTGGCCCCCACACCCATACTCATCACCCACTGGACTTAGTGGGAAAGAAAAAGACAGGAAGAAAAGAAAGAAAAGTAGGGAGGGGTGTGGAGGGATATGAATGGAGTTGGAAGGAGAAAGTGAGAAATAGATGTGATTGTATTTCATTGTATGAATATATGCTATACTCAAAAATTAAAAAAAATTAAAAGCCTGTAGGGAAGGCTGACAGACTAAATATCTGTGAGAGCTTTGATGTGATGAGGCAGCCTTGGTCAGGGCAGGGCAGTCGGCCAGAAATTCAGACAGGTCTCCTACGTCCACGTTTTTTAGAATTCCTTTCTCATTAGAAATTCATCTTTGCTCTTAAGGGTTTCAAATGGTTGCATGGAGGAAACTATATTATGGAGAATAATTGGCCTTGTTCAAAGTCTACTGATTTGAATATTACTTATAGCTTTTTGTTTTTTAAAGTTACATTTATTTATCTGTGTATTTGGGGGAAGCATGCACACTTACCACAGTGCCTATAGGAAGGTCAGAGGACTGTTTTCAGGAAGCAGTTCTCTCCTTCCGCCAACTAGATCCTGGGAAATGAATTCAGATCATCAGGCTTGGCCACAGCACCTTTATACATACTTGCATACATACATACACACATACACACACACTCAACAATAACATCTAGATTGGTGTACAACCAAGCACTGTTGTCCAACTTGACACATAAAATTACTCATAGCTCAAGCCATCATTTAAAGGTGGGACTGTCCAGTTTATTAGATGACCATTTTGCTTTGTTCTGGTCATCATTAGAGATTCAAGAGTCTCTGAGCAAAACACATCTTTCCTCCCAAGAACCGAATGATTTGGTGGGTGAAGCCCCGTATCATCTAACCTCTTGGCAATTAACAGAAGAAGAGCAAGCGTAGGTTTGCAGAGAGTTGCTGGGTTTGGTGGTGGTGGTGGTGGTGGTGGTTTTACCATACTATGTGGTCTTAGACTGTGAGACTTGGATCTCATTTTCTTCTGCCCATGGTTAAGCCTGGCGCCTGGCTACACGGAAGGCTTTATTTATCCCACGGACCACTGCTCCATTGCGTTCTCCAATGGTTGGCTCATCACCCTAGCACATTTTAGGTTTGTTTGTTGGTTTGTATTAGAATCCTAGAATCCAGTCCAAAGCTTTCAGAATCTCCGAAAACCTGGGCACATGTGGGGAATGTGGGGAGGGGGAGGGGGGGCTGGAGGTGTGAGCCAATCAGCTCAAAGATGTAGATGTACTTGTAAAACCTGTGAAACAGTGAGGCTCAGTATAGTTCTCCCTCTTAAATTCAGTCTATCTTGAGTGCTTGGCGTCTGGCTACCTTTGCTGGGACACAAGGTGAATGAGCATTGAAGTCGGACGTAAGGAGGTTATATAATGTAGCAAATGAAAATACAGTGCATTCAGTTACATTACACCGGAATTCCACGGAAACAACGACTTTTGCTTTGAATGCTCCGTGCAAAATTTGGGACAGTGGTTATTCTAAAGAGTTGTGTCTTTGAAATTCATATTTATTTAGGTATGCTGTATTTGGCCTGATAATGCTAGTGTGGATCCATACTGGAAAAGGATTCCTTCATTCCCCGCATCCATCCACTTGTCTGCGGGTCCTGGTTATTTTTACCCCAGGTGGACTAACCCGATGCTAGATTGGGACCTGGGCTTCAGAACCCTCGGACTGTAGGATGGATCCCACCCCAAGCCCAGACTGATCCAGAGTCCCAAATCTCGCAGTTGGCAGGCACCATATAGGAAACCCGAAAGAATGGTGATGTCATCAAGAAGTGAGGGGCGCCTCAGTTGAGTACAGGACAGGGCACACTAACAATATACAAAAGTGGAGACAGGAACACAACAAATCCTCACAGAAGGAGTAAATCAATCGCTAGTGATTTGCTAAACGTGAACGCTAGCCCAGGTGGTGCGTAGTAAAATCACTGCCGAAACCCGGGATCGAACCAGGGACCTTTAGATCTTCAGTCTAACGCTCTCCCAACTGAGCTATTTCGGCGGTGCTTGTGAGTGCTTTTTTAACCTCTACAATTATAACTAAGAAGCATCGTTTTGCGCCACTAAGTCAGGCAAGTTTAGCTAAAGGCTAGATATTGACAAATGTTACAAAGGCGATGACGCAAGGGCTTTGTTTATTATCTGGGATCGATTACATCTCAAGCGATTTTTAAAATTGTCCTGCGCCGGTCGTTGGTGGCTCACGCCTTTAATCCCAGCACTCGGGAGGCAGAGGCAGGCGGATCTCTGTGAGTTCGAGACCAGCCTGGTCTACAGAGATAGTTCCAGGACAGCCTCCAAAACGATACAGAGAAACCCTGTCTCGAAAAACCAAAAATAAATAAAAAAATAAATAAAATTGCCCTGCAATTTGCTTCTCTGTATTAAAAGCATTTAATGGTTTGTTGTAATTGTTGTGGATGCTGGGGTTTGAGACACGGTCTCTCTGTGGAGCCCTGGCTGTCCTGGAACTGACTCTTTGGACCAGGCTAATGGTTTTTTTTCTTTTTCTTTTTTCTTTTTTAGTTAAATTCAAAGAATATTTTAAAGTAATGAGGATTGAACCTAGGGCCTCATGAATGCTACCTGGTGCTCTAACACTGAGCTACAGCCCCAATCCAGTTCATGAATTTTTGAGGTTGTAATTCTCATAAAAGTTACAATAGCCTGATTTATCAATGCACAGCATTGCCTGTATGGGT